TGCATTGACAGCCTTGTGAATTGCAGCTAACATGTTAGGATTTGGATGCTACCAACATTTAAATAAAAGCAACTTAAATCTTAAGTCATCATTCAGCTTTAAATCCAAGACATCTTACCCTACAACATTTCTCCGATGAAAATAGGGACATCCTATTCCATCCCTCCTCCTCCTCCTCCTCATTATCATCATATTTTAGGGGAGCCAGTGTGGTGTAGTGGTTAAGAGCGGTAGATTTGTAATCTGGGGAACCGGGTTCGCGTTCCCGCTCCTCCACATGCAGCTGCTGGGTGACCTTGGGCTAGCCACACTTCTCTGAAGTCTCTCAGCCTCACTCACCTCACAGAGTGTTTGTTGTGGAGGAGGAAGGGAAAGGAGAATGTTAGCCGCTTTGAGACTCCTTAGGGTAGTGATAAAGCGGGATATCAAATCCAAACTCTTCTTCTTCTTCTTCCTATACTCTGCCCATCTGACTGGGTTGCCCCAGCCATTCTAGGTGATTTCTAACATATATAAAAACATAATAAAACATAAACTTTTTTTTTAAACTTCTCTATACAGGGCTGCGTTCAGATGTCTTCTAAAGGTTGTATAGTTGCTTATTTCCTTGGCTCAGGGGTCACACAACTCCATACTGTCCAACATTTCTTCAATGAAAATAGGGATGTCCTAAGGAAAAGTGGTACATTCTGGCATCAAATCAGAAACCGGGACGACTTCTGTACATCCAGGAATCTCCCTGGAAAATAAGAACACTTGGAGGGTCTGAGACATCATGCTAAGCCCAATGTAATTTTTATTTAAAATGGTGCCCAATTGGTCCACCATCATAATAGCTGCAAAATGGCCTACACATGGTTACTCCATAAATAAATCCAAATAACTTTGCATGTTCTCTAGTAAGCGAGCACAGCCTGCAGCCTGCATATTTCTATGTACAAATCCCCCGGGGTTTATTTTTTTTAAGTGTAAAGTGATAAACATTAGCAGTTAAATAAATTAGTGTCCAAGACTGAAAGCAATTGATGTTTTTTTAAAAAAAAAAATCTAGGCAGGAACAGACTAGAACCTAGTAAACCATTTTGACACTCATTGGTGTATATTTGCACTTCAAAACTGTGAAAGGGAAATTTGGCAGGGCTATCTGATCTTTGCATAAAAATGGACTTCAAAGCTCGCATGTGTTCCTGTTCATTTTGTGGCTACAGATTTCCAGTTAAAGGTGATTACCTCTGATTACCTATGCCTATTGTAATAGGATTTCATCTACAGCTTTTTAAAAAGCTATTTATTGTCTTTTGTTGACCACAACAACTGTACCAAAGGCTTTGCAGTACATGCGTAAGTGGCAGGTGTGAATGAAAAGCAGACTAAATCTACTGGATTTTTGTAATGCTGTGAACTATGAAAAGGGGGAATAAAATGTCCTCAATGGCCAGATATTTATTGTTACTTTGAAGCTCCCCCCCAGCTCCCACCACCACTGGAACTGACCAGAAGCTAACACCCACTCTTTTAAATAATTATTAGATTAGGTTTTTTCATTCAGTCTGTTGTGAGCACCATCCCACTTGATGTTATAATTAGTTCTCCAGAAGTGGGAGGGAACCCTTTACAGCATCCACGGCTCAGGCTCTGAAATATCAGCTCAATGAAAACTGTGGTTAGTCAAGAAAAGACAACCATTTTTGTCATTGTCATTTACAATAGGGACAAAATTGCCATGTGCTACTGTGTTGGGCTTTACACAAGCACAAGCCTGATATGATCCGGTGGTGAGTCATACTTAACCGTTCATGATGAGCACAATCTCTAACGAGGGTTTTTGGTATGAATCTCCATTTATTTCAATCAGTCTCAGGCAAAATAATTGGAGGACACACAGTAAAAGTCCTTGGTGGACTGCATCTTTAGACAAGGCCTGTTTTCTCCATCTGGTCATCGTGTACATAAAAACCACTTTTATTCATCTTGGGGTGGTGGGATTTCATTGAATTTATATTTTATCTGTCCCAAATTTATGTCAAAGTGGTTAAATCTCTACATGGAATAGCTTTTAATCAGAAGCAAATGATAAAGCAGATACTGGTATTTGCATTATCTCCAATAACACCCACAGCATGTGTCCGCATTTCCTTTTCCGCATGTTGTTGGTTGGTCACGCATCACTACTAAAGCTAATTAGGTCACTTGAAATGGACTGTAATTGATAATGACACTTTTTGCAGGTTCAGATTTTCACACACGGAAACTGAAAGTAAATTAATGACCAGCAATTTTGACAATTACGCGCAATTGAATTTGTCAACATGACGTTTGATGCAAATAGTCCATATGTAAAATAGAAATATCAATATATTTATTTATATAAAAGCATTTTGTAAAATCACATAATCTTTATTTTGGGGGAAATAAGGTGTGTGTTTGTTTGTTTGTTTGTTTGTTTGTTTGAATATGCAAATTTGCCTTTATATGCTTTTAATGTATATTCTGGCACTAAATTTGTTTACTTGGAAATGAATTTCTTACAGATCAAATATTTATGTCCATGTAACTTGTCTTAATCTAACAAGGGCAAACCAAATAGCTTTGTCACTGAAGTTAATAGTTTTCTGATTGGAATCTGAGTCATAATGCTTGTTTTGAACCATCTGAGACAAGCATTATTGCTCAGATTATAATTCAAGATGAAAAATAACTTATTACTCTCACCTTTTCTTATTCCTGACTTGGTGGAAGCATCACCAACAGGAAGATGTTAGAGGTCTGCTTCCCTAGGATGGCATACTAGATTGTAGGAAGTCTGCAAAAAGATTCAGGAACCCTGGGGAAATTACATTTCTGCCACAGCAATGTTCCAGAAGGTGCCAAGGAAAGAAAAGCCAGAAGGGAATTTCCAGGTGATGCTGCTACTGCTACAATCAGAACTAGAGGTAAATATGAAGGTTGGTAGGCCTCTAGTAAGATCTTCCTGTTGCTGCTGTCTCTGTAACCACTGTTGTCACTGCCACTATGAAATACATGGGAACCAGCACAGGAAATGCCGCCAGAGAAGATGCTGGCAAAGCATGGAGAGGAGACTGCTAGATTGTAAAACCAAGCAGCATGAGGATGGGGATGGGGGAAGAGGCAATTGATTCCAACTACCCAGCTCATTCTCTGGCAGCTGTTCTAGTGTGGCTAGCAGAGACGTCTTTCCCATAGAGCTTAGTGGTGCACTGCGCCACAGCGCTGCCCTCTCAGGGGCGCCCCAGCAAGTGGGGGAGTTGCGCGGCTTTGCCGGTGGCCTCCCCTTTCCCTGCACGCCCGGGTGTGCAGCTTGCCTCCCAAGCCTCCTGTGCATGGCAGGAGCGCGGGAGGAGAGCCCCGAAGAGGTGGGTGGGAACGGTTTTGACGGGGAAGCTGAAGCCTCTCCCAACAGCTCCCTGTCAAAGCTCCCCACCAGCAAGCGAGGACCCCGCCTCTCCCTTTTCGGTGTGGCGGCTTCCCGGCGGGCAGAAGGGAACTCCAAAGCGTTTGCAAAGACTCTCCTCCTCCTCACCCAGGAGCAGAAAGAGCTGCTTTGGCTGCTGCCCCTGCGACTCAATCCATGCCCTTTTCTGGAGACCAAGCTGAACTCTGACTGAAAGAATTATTTCATGGGGTCTGCCCAAGGTGTTTGGCTTTCCCCCCACAGACCCATCTGTTGGGTTGAAATCACGACAGACGAGTGGTGGGTGTCAAAGGAGGGGCGTCTGCCAGGGCAAGCCCCGGGAACTCTCTTTTATTGAATATTACAAACATTGCCACAGGTGTGCTTGTGGCTGATTGGTTGATACAAACACAAAGCATCTTGTTGCTGATTGGTTAACATAGGTACAAGGCGGGAATAACATATGTCCATTTATCATTGATAGATCAAAGGATGAGGAATGGGGCTAGAACTAGACAGGCATGAATCCTCCTAATTAAATTATAACTAAAGATTAATATAACATGACTAAAACAATTACTAATGATTGATCATAACATGAAAGAATATAATAATGAAGTTCCGTAGATGTGGTCAGCTATGCATTAAGAACAGACCATATTGTTTTGTACATGAACTTGAAATGAACTGAAGAATGAGAGAATGTCTAGGTGTGCTTGGCTTGGTGTGTTTGGAACAGTATGTGCAGAAGCAGAAGCGAGACTTCCCAGAATGCAAAAGGAAAGAAGCAAGAGTTCTCATAGTAAGCATAGCAAGATTTCATAGCAAGACTTCCCACAATGCCACAGTTATGTGCAGTAAGAGAACTGCAGAAAGAAAACTTCCCTTCACCCATCCTTAGCTGTGCCCAAGTGCACTTTCATTTCTCCCTTGAAGTAGCATTGCAAAATGCAGCGGGCTGCTAACGCACATGCTACGTGTGTGGTCATGGGCGAGGACAATCTGCTGCTGTCCCGCCACACTCACCCACCCACTCACTTCCAGGGGATCAGGGAAGCCTGCGTGGGCGGGAGGAGCAACACTATTTCTGCCCAGGCTCAGCTTCCCTACCACCACCCTCCGCTCTTCTCCATCGGTGGGTTAAATGCCCCCTCCTTCCTGCTTTCCTCCGTCCCACTTTCTCTCTTTTTATCCAGTAAAGGAAGGGGTAGGTCCCCCACCCCACCCTCAGCTCTTGCCTCTCCTTCCCTGTATTGAAATCTTGTGGAATTCCCAAGTTCATGTCAACAACTCTGGGGAACCTTTCCTTAAAAAGGTCAACAACTTTGGGGTGTCCCCCCCTTAAAAAGGTTGACAACTCCAGGAAATGGGGGGGGCACATCTGGGATCTTTGCACCACGGCGCCGGATATGCTTAAGACGGCCCTGGAGGCCATTGTTGTAGACAGGTTGCACAATACCAGCAGCCATTGCATGGGAGTGAAAAGGGAGGAACACTGACATGAGGAAAGTGGTAGTTTGAAACAACAGCAGAGTAAAGCAGGGACAGAGAAAGCTGAGAGGAAAATGGTGGCTTTAAACAAAAGCAGATGTTTGAATAAAGCAGGGATGGAGAGCCACAGGGGGAAATGGATGTTATAAACAAATACAGACTCCAGTGGGCCTTTCTGTCATTTTCCCCTCTGTCTCCCCATCTCTGCTTTATTCAAACCTCTGCTGCTGTTTTAAACCACCATTCCCCCCTGTTGTTGTGCAGCCTGCCTTCTGTTTTGCTCCCTCTCCTGCCTTCATGCAAATCCAGGTCTGTGATGAGGCACTACAAATCTTCCAGTAGGGGCTGCATTCTGACTTCATGTAAACCCACAATTGTGATGCAGCCCTACAAATCCTCAAAGGAGGGTTGTGCAAGGACGACTTTATGATTTTACGTATATAGGAGGCTGGAAACTGCTTCCAAGTCTGGGCCATCTAAAATAGGCCTAATCCTGGTTGAATATAATGAAAATAAGGCAGTCAACAATTCTGCTACTTTTTCCTCCTTTATTAATCATATGTTGTTATTGTTGTTGCTGTTTTAAAAAATATAAAAATGAGCTTAAAATAAAACTAAAAACTTGAATGGCTACAATTCAGACAAAGTAAATTTCTTTTGAGGTACTTGATTATTGTTCTTATTTCAGTCGCATGGAGGAGGAAAGGAAGGGTTACAATGGAAACGCACCTATTCAGATATTTTTCAATGAACCGCACTGGGGTTAAGTATCTTATGGAATGCAGCATGTCTGGTAATGAATTGGAAGCGTGAATCCTTCTAGAGCACCCTTTTTCTAAATTGTGCCATTTTGTTTCTGAAGCTTGAGCTCCTTCTTCATGAACATGGAGATGTTCCTGCTTTTTTCTGCCGTGTGCCTGGAAGTGATGTGCCGCTTAATATAATACGTTTAAAAGAAGGAAGGAAAAATAGGCCAAAGTGAGGCCAATGGATTCCCACGCAGCACAGAAGTAATGTGTGGCATGCAAACCAATGATGTCAAGTTGCTTTACGGGCAGGAGTTCTCTGTGCAGCATCATTTTGCACATGGACTCCATTTTCAGGGAATGATTCACATGCTGGTTATTTTTGCTAGACTGGAGCAATAGGAAAAAATGCTGTCATTCTGTTCACAGATCTCTAAGCTCAGCAGCTTAGAAAAAGTCCAGTTCTGTGACACTGATCTAGGGCAGCTTCCAGACAACCTGTTTATGGAGCATGCATCCTTGTTTGTTTGCAAAGTGTTTTGGGGGGTTACCGTATATTATGCCCACTGTTTATTGAGCACTCCCTCTGATTTGTTTATCAGGAGGTTATATGATTTTGCATCAAGCAAATGTTATCACACGCTTTCCGTGCAATTTCCCATCGCTTTCCTTTCCATAAAACATTCACTGTGGGTGGGGAGGCTGGAAATAGGTTTGTTGTACAAGAGCACCAAATCTACATTAATTGTGCAGCCTGAATTTGCTGGCATGCAACTGAATCCATGAAATATTACAATCTGAAAACCCCTGGGACTGTTCCAGAGGTATAAGAGGTAAATTAATTGCACAAAATATATGGCCACCAACATCCTGATCCCACAGGAATTAGTGGAGAAACACAGATTAAAGAAGAAACAGACATTGGCGCTTGTTAGTTTAGAGAGCAAAACATTTACCCACTATGCTCTCCAGTCAAACAGGTTTTGCAAGGGTTTGTAGTGCCATGAACAATATTAGACTATGATGATGATAATGTGCATTTCTTTATTCAAACTAGTGTCCAGAATTTTTTGTTTTTTGTTTTTTATCATCTTAATAGACTTACCACCTTAGCTGTGCCCAACCTGAATCAATAGAAACCTTAACAAACCCAAGAAAACAATTAAAATTATTTAGTCATGTATTCATTCTAAAGTTTATATCTCACCATTCTACAACTGTAGCCCAATACAACAATGGGAAATAATTTCCTGTTTGAGCAACTGCAATATTCAGTAATTCCTTCAAAGAATATCATTTTAATATTAAGAAATAATTCAAAAGTGTGTTTGTGTTTTGAAAACTCAAGTGCCGTTTTAAAAATGTATCAGAACATCCACTGATAATACAAATCAAATAATGAAGAAAATACAATAGAGTTCTGGCTTATAAAGCTGCCAGCATAAGCTTATTATATTTAGCTTTTACCTTATTATATTAATACTTCAGTTTAAAATATAAATACACGTAAAATGCTTACTAGTAGAAAAACATTAATATACAGGATTCAATTTTATTCCTTTCCACATGGCTTTCCTCTTTCCCTATAAGTCCATAAAATACAATTACATACATTCAACTGATGATTTTAAATTACAGAATATAACTGCATTTTTAAAAAAATGGTAGCAGTGTAATAATATTTTTACAACATAAAATCTCAATTTGTATTACATTTGTTAGATTAGTTTAATTAAAACACCAGTAATATCAAGGGGTGTATGGCAAAATCCTGACTCTTTTAGAAGAAACACTGGGAGGTAAGAAAAGGATTTTGAATATGCAATTGGCTCTCCATTTCTAATAATCCATGCATAAGCAGACTAAGGTAGAACCACATGAAGTTTAGGTCTGTTCTTGGTATACTCTTCAGAGCTGGACATGCAACATCTTACTATGCATAGCAGATACTCAGTATTAATTAGTTAAAATTTTAGCTGCAGTTAATAATAATAATAATAATAATTTATACTCCGCCCATCTGGGTTTGTATGAAACAGCCAAGGTTCTATAAGGAGCTGCTTATCTGAAACAAATGTGTATGCGTTTATCACCACAATCTTTTAATTAATTGGTTCTAAATTGCAATTTGGTTCTAATTTGTTCTTTAAAAAGTCATTTTAATTATTAAAATGCTGCGAAGCCTCTCAAGCATTAATAAATATATTTTCAAAAGACAAGGCAGGAACACACAATATTTTTTATCAGCCATCTTTGCATATAACTCACCCACATCTCAGTTCTCCCACAGATATTCCTCTTGGGGTCTTTTAGAGGGTTGTTGACATAGACCTGAAACATATGCTCTGCCTGTGGTTCTATCGCTCGTATATGGAAACAGAACTAGCATTAGAGAAGGTCATCGTAACAATGTGGATAAACTGTGGGTGATGGTTAGAATACCTTTTGCATGAAGATCTCACAAAGCGTACGCTATTAAACAAGCATTCTCTTGAATTCTGGCTCCTTCTAAGTAAAGCTGAAAGGCTGTCATAAAGTTGAAATGATACTTTAACAAATTGACCAAATTAATATATTGTATTATCAACTGCTTAAGCATAAAAGAGAGCTAGTGAGACACGCTGCTGTCTCTTTATCCCTTTAATTAAAGAAATTCTTCAGGATGCCCATGGGAGGGAGGTTGTAGTTCCACAAAGGGTTGTGTAAATGATCTTCTAAGCGTCCAAATGCAGTTGTTGTTTAACATACATACATTCATTAACGTAGTGTTCTAATGTAAAGCAAAAAACAAAACAAAAACCCAAATCTAAAATGCTGCCATAGATAATTATTAGTGCCCTAGCTGTCAGTTAGTCAAATCATCTAAAAGACCAATTATTCTGATGATACACAAGTTGAAAGGTTGGCTAAAACAGAGTTTGTTGCTGACATGGTTTGTGAGTTGGGGCTCAAGTAGAATGTTTCTCTTCCTGACAATTATGATAATGAGGGTAGTTTCCAGCATCTTCTGCATTTTTAAAAAGGTAAAGGTAAAGGTACCCCTGACCGTTAGGTCCAGTCACAGACAACTCTAGGGTTGCAGTGCTCATCTTGCTCTATAGGCCAAGGGAGCCAGCGTTTGTCCACAGACAGCTTCTGGGTCGTGTGGCCAGCATGAGTAAGCCGCTTCTGGCAAAACCAGGGCAGCGCACGGAAACGCCGTTTACCTTCCCGCCAGAGCGGTACCTATTTATCTACTTGCACTTTGACGTGCTTTCGAACTGCTAGGTTGGCAGGAGTTGGGACTGAGCAACAGGAGCTCACCCCATCCTGGGGATTCAAACCACTGACCTCCTGATCAGCAATTCCTAGGCTCTGTGATTTTTAAGCCTTCTTAATTCCAAAATTCTCTTTAAAAAGAAAATTCATCAGCTTGGATCTTGAGATTGCCCAAGCAAGATTTTACGCATGGGATGCTCCTACTGGCAGAAGGGAGGATTGCCATTTGTGCCAATTCCCATTTGCCCCTTTCCTCTGTTGCTTTTTGTGCCCCCTGATAATCTGCCCCAGAGGGTTAGTTATCCCACCGGAATGGCATGGGAGGTGGGGGGAAATGAAATGGGCAAACATCAGCTCACCCCCATTTCACCACTGGTAGCCTGCAGCCTAACTTAGGTAGGGGACCAATTTGGGTGGTCCACCCCCAGAGACTAATGGAACCAGAGAGGCTCCTGAGCATTCTGGGAGATTTCCAATTGGATAGAGCCATTGATCCTGTTGAGGCTCTGGTCTCACTGTGGAATGGGGAGATGGGGAGTGCTGTGGATACTTCTGAATATAGTTTAGCTTAGAAGTTGCCTCTCAGGTCCTGTTTGGTCAAGATCCTCTCATCCATTGGAGAAAATTAAGAACCACACTTTCAATGCACATATGTAGTTGCATAATGGAAGTGGCACGTGAACTGGAAATACATGTAATATGTAATGTCACTTTTTTATATTGTTATAAGGTCTATCCTGTGACAATATGGTGAAGGAAATGTAAGAAATAATAATAATAATAATAATAATAATAATAATATACAAGTTACATGAAATTACAGTAATTCCTGAGATCCAAAAAGAGCTCCTGCAGACTGAGGTATTATAGCAAACTCATGAAATGTCTGTGGTACAAGACAAGCTTAAGTCCGGCTGATTTTTTCAGCTGGACATCAGTTTAATTGTGTGTTGCATGTTGGACTCTCTCTCAAGCAGATTTCACATGTCACTTAAAACCTTTTTGAGCTCTTTCCCACTGTTAGTGTGCATGTAGAAGTCTAGTTTTGAATGTACCTGCACCGGGTGTTTTGTTACCGATGAAATGGTGACCATGCAGGAAAGCTGATCTACATTTGCACTTCAAGTTCCCTGCATTTTGGCGTCACCTGCAAACAGCTGCATGAAATTTGAAGCTCATTTTGAGCATTTTTGTCCCCTAACAGAATTGTACATCTT